AATACCTGCAAACAAATTTAGTCAAGATGTAATTTATAATTAAAACATCAGTGTACAGTCTGGAAATATTTTAAACACGTTAACATACAACGTTACTGTATTACGACAAAGTATTTACGAATTATTAATAGTGTCTACACGTACTTCAGAGTTATAATAACAGTATTACAACAGCATCACGGGATGTAAGTGTATTCTGGCAGTGGAATCAATGCAGTAAAGGTGTCTATGGCAACAAGAAGTTGAGTATAAGTAAGTAGTGAGTCTGGAAACATAAACACATATGCAGTTTAATGTGATCCTTTATTGACAACGTTTCGCCCACACAGTGGGCTTTTTCAAGTCGCCCACTGTGTGGGCGAAACGTTGTCAATAAAGGATCACATTAAACTGCATATGCGTGTATGTTTCCAGTGTGTCGGTATTTTATACCATTTATTTTCAAGTAGTGAGTCTGTTTCATAGACAGAGACTCGAGCCTTTGCCACGCCTCTTTCTGCCAGTCTTCCCGCTCGCTACTCCACCACAACCCAACCCATTTCTCAGACTGACTAGAAAAATCAAAATGTGGTATACAGATAAAGACGGAATCACGAAATGAAAGAAATGAGCTAAAACGCTAGGTAACAGAGGAGCCCCTGAGATCTCGGTGAAAAAAAAATAAATAAAAAATAACCAGTTACATTATAAACTGCGATTACAAAAAATATCAATTTACAATAAAAAAAAAGTGAGTAGCCAGACTAAGAGGACAACAGGAGGGCAGCCAGTGAAGAGGCGAGGCCAGGAGCTATGAATCGACCCCTACAACCACATATAGGTCAGCACAGAGAACGTGAACCTATGCAAAACTACCTCACATGGGATTTTATTAAAAAATAGAGAACTGAGCTCTACACAGAAGTCGAAATAATGAAGAAAAAGAAGAATTAAAATGTCGCAACCAGAACAGTTCACGACTAACTCACAATCTGTAGAGAAAACTTTAAACAACGTTTCGCTCAGTCGTGGATCTTTCTCAAGGTTAATTACAGGACGGATAAAAATGCCTGTCAAAGTTTCATTATCCAGTTGCAGCAATGTTGGGGAAACTCGACATAATCAATATTAAAAACCATCAAAATTGAATCTGGTGACGAACCAGATAAAATGTGCTTAGCTTTCATGTTAAGAAAAATTGTACTAGCAGTAGTACTAGTAGCAATAGTACTAGTAGCAGTAGTACCAATACTAGTAGTAATAGTACTAGTAGCAGTAGTACCAGTACTAGTAGTAATAGTACTAGTAGCAGTAGTACCAGTACTAGTAGTAATAGTACTAGTAGCAGTAGTACCAGTACTAGTAGTAATAGTACTAGTAGCAGTAGTACCAGTACTAGTAGTAATAGTACTAGTAGCAGTAGTACCAGTACTAGTAGTAATAGTACTAGTAGCAGTAGTACCAGTACTAGTAGTAATAGTACTAGTAGCAGTAGTACCAGTACTAGTAGTAATAGTACTTGTAGCAGTAGTACCAGTACTAGTAGTAATAGTACTAGTAGCAGTAGTACCAGTACTAGTAGTAATAGTAATAGTAGCAGTAGTACCAGTACTAGTAGTAATAGTACTAGTAGCAGTAGTACCAGTACTAGTAGTAATAGTAATAGTAGCAGTAGTACCAGTACTAGTAGTAATAGTACTAGTAGCAGTAGTACCAGTACTAGTAGTAATAGTACTAGTAGCAGTAGTACCAGTACTAGTAGTAATAGTAATAGTAGCAGTAGTACCAGTACTAGTAGTAATAGTACTAGTAGCAGTAGTACCAGTACTAGTAGTAATAGTACTAGTAGCAGTAGTACCAGTACTAGTAGTAATAGTACTAGTAGCAGTAGTACCAATACTAGTAGTAATAGTACTAGTAGCAGTAGTACCAGTACTAGTAGTAATAGTACTAGTAGCAGTAGTACCAGTACTAGTAGTAATAGTACTAGTAGCAGTAGTACCAGTACTAGTAGTAATAGTACTTGTAGCAGTAGTACCAGTACTAGTAGTAATAGTACTAGTAGCAGTAGTACCAGTACTAGTAGTAATAGTACTTGTAGCAGTAGTACCAGTACTAGTAGTAATAGTACTTGTAGCAGTAGTACCAGTACTAGTAGTAATAGTACTAGTAGCAGTAGTACCAGTACTAGTAGTAATAGTACTAGTAGCAGTAGTACCAGTACTAGTAGTAATAGTACTAGTAGCAGTAGTACCAGTACTAGTAGTAATAGTACTTGTAGCAGTAGTACCAGTACTAGTAGTAATAGTACTAGTAGCAGTAGTACCAGTACTAGTAGTAATAGTACTAGTAGCAGTAGTACCAGTACTAGTAGTAATAGTACTTGTAGCAGTAGTACCAGTACTAGTAGTAATGTACTAGTAGCAGTAGTACCAGTACTAGTAGTAATAGTAATAGTAGCAGTAGTACCAGTACTAGTAGTAATAGTACTAGTAGCAGTAGTACCAGTACTAGTAGTACTAGTACTAGTAGCAGTAGTACCAGTACTAGTAGTAATAGTACTAGTAGCAGTAGTACCAGTACTAGTAGTAATAGTACTAGTAGCAGTAGTACCAGTACTAGTAGTAAAAGTAAAAGTAGCAGTAGTACCAGTACTAGTAGTAATAATACTAGCAGCAGTTGTACCAGTGCCAATAGCAAAAGTACTAGTATTAACAGTACTAGTAGCAGTAATACCAGTATTGGTAGAAGTAGTACTAGTAGTAATAGTGCTAGTAGCAGTAGAACCAGTACTAGTAGTAATAGTACAAGTAGCAGTAGTACCAGTACTAGTAGTAATAGTACTAGTAGCAGTAGTACGTACAGTAGTAAAAGTAGCAGTAGTACCAGTATGTAGTAATAGTACTAGTCATTACCAGTAGTACAGTACTAGTAGTAATAGTACTAGTAGCAGTAATACCAGTATTAGAGATACAGTGATTATGCAGTACATAAAACAGTACTAGTAGTAATAGTACTAGTAGCAGTATAGTACCAGTTACTAGTAGAATAGTACTAGTAGCAGTAGTACCAGTGACAGTAGCAGTAGTGCTAGTAGTAATAGTACTAGTAACAGTAGTACCAGTACTAGTAGTAATAGTACTAGTAGCAGTAGTACCAGAGTAGTACCAGTAGTAATATACTAGAGTAGTAATAATTCTAGTAGCAGTAGTATACCAGTAAGTACAGTGCAGTAGCAGTAGTACTAGTAGTAATAGTACTAGCTAGCAGCATACTAGTATACAGTACAAGTAGCAGCAGTACTAGTAAGTAATAGCACTAGTAATACTATATGCAGTAGTACTAGTACTAGTTATACTACTAGCAGTAGTAGTACTAGTAAGTAATAGTACTAGTATAAAGCAGTAGCAATACTAGTAGTAATAGTACTAGTAGCAGTAGTAGTACTAGATGTAATAGTACTAGTAGCAGTAGATACCAGTAGCAATAATAGTACAGTAGTAGTACTAGTAGTAATATACTAGTACAGTAGTACAGTACATAGCAGTAATACTAGTAGTAATAGTACTAGTAGCGCAGTAAGTACTATAGTATAGTCAGAGCAGTACTAGTAAGTACCAGTAATATGCCGAGTACGTATAATAGTACTAGTAGCAGTAGTACCAGTACTAGTAGTAATAGTATTAGTAGCAGTAGTGCCAGTGCCAGTAGCAGTTGTACTAGTATTAATAGTAGCAGTAGTGCCAGTACTAGTAGTAATAGTATTAGTAGCAGTAGTACCAGTGCCAGTAGCAGTTGTACTAGTAGTAATAGTAGCAGTAGTGGCAGTACTAGTAGCAGTAGTACCAGTGCCAGTAGCAGTAGTACTAGTAGTAATAGTACTAGTAACAGTAGTACCAGTACTAGTAGTAATAGTACTAGTAGCAGTAGTATCAGTACCAGTAGCAGTAGTACTAGTAGTAATAGTACTAGTAGCAGTAGTACCAGTACTAGTAGTAAAAGTACTAGTAGCAGTAGTACCAGTACTAGTAGTAAAAGTACTAGTAACAGTAGTACCAGTACTAGTAGTAATAGTACTAGCAACAGTTGTACCAGTGCCAATAGCAAAAGTACTAGTATTAACAGTACTAGTAGCAGTAATACCAGTATTGGTAGAAGTAGTACTAGTAGTAATAGTGCTAGTAGCAGTAGATCCAGTACTAGTAGTAATAGTACTAGTAGCAGTAGTACCAGACCAGCAGCAGTAGTACTAGTAGTAATAGTACAAGTAGCAGTAGTACCAGTACTAGTAGTAATAGTACTAGCAGCAGTAGTACCAGTGCCAGTAGCAGTAGTACTAGTAGTAATAATACTAGTAACAGTACTACCAGTACTAGTAGTAATAGTACTAGTAGCAGTAGTACCAGTAGCAGTAGTACTAGTAGTAATAGTACTAGTAGCAGTAATACAAGTACTAGTAGAAATAGTACTAGAAGCAGTAGTACCAGTGACAGTAGCAGTAGTACTAGTAGTAATAGTACTAGTAGCAGTAGTACCAGTACTAGTAGTAATAGTACTAGCAGCAGTAGTATCAGTGCTAGAAGTAATAGTACTAGTAGCAGTATTACCAGTACTTGTAGTAATCGCACAAGTAGCAGTAATACCAGTACCAGTAGCAGTAGTAATAGTAGTAATAGTACTAGTAGCAGTAGTACCAGTACTAGTAGTAATAGTACTAGTAGTAGTACCAGTACCAGTAGCAGTAGTATTAGTAGTAATAGTTCTAGTAGCAGTGGTACCAGTACTGGTAGCAGTAGTACTAGTAGTAATAGTACTAGCAGCAGTAGTACCAGTACAAGTATCAGCAGTACTAGTAGTAATAGTACTAGTAATACTACTACTGCTAGTAGTACTATTACTAGTACTACTAGCAGTAGTAGTACTAGTAGTAATAGTACTAGTAGCAGTAGTAATACTAGTAGCAATAGTACTAGTAGCAGTAGTAGTACTATATATGTAATAATACTAGTAGCAGTAGTACC